TTTGTTTAGGTTCGGAAGTAATTTTGTAGTATTTAGGCTCCACCCTTAAGTTGTAATTTTTATACCTACTAAACTACCGTTGCCCCGCAGGTCTTTCAGTTTGTAATGTAAATTTTCCTCTTAAAGCGAAATTACATTTTTCTTTTGTTCAAAATTATTTATTTTATGTGTACTTTGTCAATGTAAATCACGAGTAAATCACTTTATGAGACAATCTGTATTTGTATAATAATGAGATGAGAGAGAGGTAATAAATAAGTACAATTCCCGAAACACACAAATAATAAAATAAACGAGTCAAATCAACTGAGTTTTTAAAGGAAAATTTTACCTTTAAATTTTTTATAAATATGAGAGTGAGATAGCGAATAAAGTGAACCAAATTCGACCTGAGCAACTGCTAAATCCACTTTATCACCTGCACGAGCAAAACATCAATTTGAATAGATAATAATAGAGAACAAAAAACTTTTATTTCGAATTAATTAAATAAATTTCTTCGAGAGAAGAGAATAATTTTGTGTTAAATAAAAATTATTAAAGATCTATTAATAATAATTATCCCAACATATCCAATTATAATTATTCATCCAGTAGAATCCGGCTCGAAGGACCAATGGATAGGTTATGGTTAAACTAATGGTATGGCACGCGCGTAAGAAAATTTAAAGCTTTGCCAATCAGGTCCAACCTTTAGTTTCCTTGGCTTCCTGACGCAGACTTCTCTCCTTGGCGCGTCCACCCTAAGCTTCAGGGGTCGTGGACTGTTTTAGGGCTGGTATTTGAATGTTCGGAAATGTAATTTGAGGGTTTGTACCGAATTATCACAATGCTCGAATACTCAACTGTATTCTACGTGATTTTCGGCGATACTGAGGTTAGATCATAGCCCTCAGAAAGTCTAGATACCGCTTGGCGTATGCTGTCAATACAAAAAAATGACCCCATTCAAGCTTGTCGCCATGTTAGGTAAATTTATGTTTTGGCTACACTGATTTTTAGTTTGTGTGTTCTGTAATACGTGAACACCGATAATCTGCACTTTGTTATTAGTTATAAGTGAGTGAGACGCACAATTTCTAATTTCAAATTAAGAACAAAACTTTGACAAACCTAATTGATTTTCCTAGATCTGTTCAGACAGGACCGGTTTTATAAATTTTCTCGTTCTTGAAATGTTATTTTTACATGATTATATATATTATTGGAAAAGTGTTTTATGTACATATTGCTATGAGAATTATAGAGAAATTCAGTGAGATTTATGTAATATAATTCAAATTACAAGTAAACCATATGTTCCTGTTTGGCAATATGGAGAAAATACCTAATTCAATGTCAAATGTACTATTTAAAAGAATGTGATTGTTAACCGGTCATTTATTTATATTATATTATGAAAATAAAAACTCGAATTTTTTAACTAGGGAAAGATATACTTACATCGGTAACAAGGTATTTTTAGAAAAACTGATAGATTACTCCTATTCCTATAGTTTATTTGAAAATGAATAATAGCAAAATTATATAAAAATATGGACCTTCGCCATAAAAACTGTGCTACCAAGCATTTTCAAATAAACTATAATGATAATTTGATTTAATAGAGCGAGTATAAGATCTCACCTATTAGAGAAATTGGGGCATAGGGAAAAGATTATGAAGCAGGTAAGCAAAGTCGTTGCAAAATATAAATATATAGAAGTTATTTTAAAAATTTGATAAAAAACTAGTGGAACAACAAATGGAGTTATCGCTATCGAAGATCCAATCAGCAGAAAGTAAAAAAAAAACTTTGGGAATGTTGGAAAAGGGCACAGCAATAGGCCCAAAACAATTCCTTGGTTTTTTAATAAATATAATCTTGTGAGATGCAAAAAATACTGCTAGAGTGGAGAAGCAGTATTGTTCTAATGTAGAAAACCCAGGGACATATAGCAGTGCACTAACCATAGGCGAATAGTCACTAAATTATACAAGAGTCCCATCTCGATTTTATTTTTAAATATTTTTGAGAATACCTATTATTATTTGTTACATTGAGTTTAATAAAACCACAGATTTCGAATGTTTTGAAAGTTATTTAAAAAGTACACCTCTATAAATATATAGAAAATGTGTATATGACTAACTGGTTTTATTAATATTTTTTTGGGGTAGGTAAAATATATTTTGAAAAATTTACAAACTTCATTTGAATAAAAGACAAAATATTTCTGTTTTTATTAACTGAACAATATTTTATACAAACATAATATATACCTATTTAAAAGAAAATATTACATTTTACAAATATCGCATATTTATATGAAATAACCTACTCAATAAGAAAGAATTAAATGAAACAAATTAATAAAGAATGGATATGAAAAATTGCTTTAACAATTTAATCCTTAGATAAACTTATTCTTACATATTGCTTTAATCAATTTATTTACTATAAAAGTAGATTTCCTATCATTTATTACATGTAATAAAATAAAGCATAAAACATACAAACTATAATATGTACCTACTTAGAACGGAACTAATATTAATAGAAAAACCTGACCAAAGGATGTAGAATAAATTGTCGCAACGGTTTTTAAAAATTATGATTTTTATATCATTTCTTTGGCAGTATATTTCCAAAAGTGTACTAAATTTCTAAAATAATGCATTCAGATATTTCTCTAAATGAATAAATAAAACTTCACCAAGAAAGGTTAAAAAATTCAAGTAATTTTATTGTGTTTACACTCATGTTGTTTAATAGCAATTAATAAATGGAGTGGTAATATTAATAATAATTTTGTTGACAACAATTTTTCTTTCATAAATTCAAATAATAATTGGATATGTGACATTCATAACTAATATTTATTGACTCGAGAGATAAAAAAACCCATTTTGTTTAATAACATTAAATGATGGGGTGATAATATTAATAACTTTATTGTCAACAATTTTTTTTCTACATAGCAATTCACAAATTACATTATCCGTCAGGTACTTAAATAAGTAAATGTAATATAAAATATTAACCCCACTAGAGAAACCTAAATTAAACAATTGTGAGACCATGTTTCTAGGATCAACCTTATCCAAAGCTTTAGAACTCTTTATAAATAGATATAGCATCCACTTGCTCTTGGTTATCCAAAACATGAACAGAAACATATTCAATTAAGCATAAGTTAATAACCATTCAATGATTATTAATAAAACTTTGAAGATCTTGTGAAATATTATCCACGAAATAGTAAATAAATGCAATTGCAAAGAGAAATAATAAAAAGTACACAATAATATTGGTCTATAAATTGCCGTTTGATTTCGTCATACTTTTAAATATTATATTGTACATATTATTGTTTCTTTACACAATTCACTATATTTTCAAGTTTTTTTGTTAATGCAAAAAGAAAAATTTGTTTCAGAAGTTATTTTACTGAATGAGTTCTAGTTTAACAATATATATTCAAAGATGTCACCAGTGTGTTACATAGAAAGAGTTTGTTGGTGATTATCTTTTTTCAGCAAATATTTCATCATGGCTGAAGTAACAATGAACTTGTAATATAACTAGTGAATGATGCTCAAATTTTATAGGCTATATAAATCTAATGAGTTTATTACAAAGAATAATGGACCATGAAGATGCCATATAACAGAAAAGTTTTATTGTAAAATTACTTGGTTATAATTAAATTACAATGGCATAAATTAAGTTGTACATAAATAATTTAAATAAACACAAGTAAGCTATAAAGGGTTGTACATGGGCAAAAAAAATAAGACAAAACCATATTCTGAAAAAATTATCATCAGAAGAAAAAATTGTTTCAAGGTAGTAATAGTGGACATTTTCCGAATAAAAAAAAGTAAAAAAGAAGTAACGGTCGACACGTTTTTCAGACTATTGGTCTTCATCAGTACGGTGCAGCCAAGTTTAAAGGATCATGGAATAGTGTTAGAAAAATTGTACAATAGCATAGGTCACTAACAAGGAGCCAATAACACATTTGCCGTTTCAGCTAGTATCCCCAAATTTTCTGGGCTTATACTAAAGTCACAAAATGATTCAATGGTCTTCCTATGGCTATCAGTTATTCTTTCCTAAAAAATTTTGGTATGTTACAACAAAACATACAAATTATTTGATTTTGTAAATACACAAATATTTGTGAAAACTTACACATGAAATGTTATTTCTTCCTTGTATCTTCTACCGTTAGATGCATTGTTACATTCAGGTACAAAACAATAAGAAATTTTGAAAATCCTGTAAAAATTTAACACCAAACCACAAATGTTTTTTAATAAAATAAAACACTAAACGACTAAACTAAAAAATAATGTGTTGAATAAAACCTTTACTAGAAGAACAAAATAAACAACACAACAGATAATAAAATCGATTATATACGTCCAACGCCGATCTTACGCTTATTACTAAACTTGCGCCGATTCTGTCTTGTTAGTAGTGCCAACTTAAAATTTATTGACATTTATTTATCATGGCGCCCATCATATGGGGGGTCAAAATGTTTTTACGATGCGGTATCTAGACCTTCTGAGGGCTATGGGTTAGACCGTTTGAATTAGTAATGTTCTTCGCCACGCGGATGTGGTCTTTGACCAATTAGGGCAATACCTTCTTGGCGAAGTATAAGTAATAGGAATAATAAATATAAGTGAAATTTTACGTTTCATATACTAAATAAGTGAAGACTTAACAATGTTAAACTTTTATGTTTTTCCTAATGGAGAGAATATTGTGTGCCAATCCCAATTTGAAAAAAATACATACCTTTGCGATATTCTTCTTTTTAACAGCCTTAAAATTACCCTAATCCCAGAATAAATCCAGTGAATAAAACTTTTGGAATCTGATTCAAAACATCAATTCTATTTGTTGTATTATTGCATAATTAAAATGGTCTTCAATCAATTGGTCAAAATTAATCGAAGTTTTTTTTGTCATTTAGTGTCTGAATAACAACAATAACTGTTTCTAGGTTGCCAAAATCACGTCTTCGACTCCGACGACTACTGGCTGTGCTCCCTGCGTCAATTATCGACTTCCCTTGGTGACCAAACATCCACCTGCAAAATGGGTCCGCGAAATGACCCAGAAGCAATAGTCGATTCGAAGCTACGTGTATATGGAATACACAATCTCAGAGTAGCAGATGCCAGTGTTATACCCGTACCGATATCTGGCAGAGCTGTGACTGCTTCTTATATGATTGGAGAAAAGGCTGCCGATATGTTAAAGAAAGCCTGGAATAAGAAGGACAGCATATCGAGGTTGATTGATATAAGGAGTGCTAACGTGGAGGAATAAAACTATTATTGATGCAAAAAAAATCAATATTTTAAGGATAAATTAGGTTATTTATAGTGATAAAGTAACACGCTACATAAAATGGGTATTGAAATTGAATAATTTTGGTATTTTGTAAATTCTAGTCTCAATTTGATAGTTTTTATTTACATAAGAATTTTTATAAAATTTGTATGTTATTTATTTCATTCTTTTTTTTGAGTTTACATTTTGATTTTAAAAATCCGTTACTTTTTAGGTTGTGATTTTCCTATTAGTTTGCTTAATTTATTTATATTTAAATATGTAAAACATAATGACTTATTTATTTTTGTATATTTATTAAATATTTTTTTTTATAAAAATGATATTTATTTTAGTAATCCTTTTAAGAGTTTTAAAAGTTTAGCCCTTAACTTGGCAAAAGTTTAATTTTGAATCTAAAAATCTGAAAATTTGCATGTGTTCTGTTTGGTAGTCATACAAATATTCTATGATAACAAAAAAATTATATGACATTTGTATGTCAAAAATGTTGATTGTATACCAGAGTATACATCGCCAAATAGCCCGATAAATGGGTATGTATAGCATATTACACATTGCCAAGTTACGAAGTAAAATCAAACTATCAAAAATTACTCAAAAATATTTATTTGTTAATATGAACATCCATAAAACAATTTCTGTTCTGGACTAAACATAGCCTTATATTGCATTTGCTACAAAATATGGCGGTTTGTCCCTTCTTGCAATTTCTACACCTGCCCATTGCACCATAAATTGGAAAATGATCTAGATGATCCAATCTAATGTCATTTTGGGGTCTAGGCTTTACCGGGTTTTTAATTTTTTTTGAAGTTAGTGGTAGCTGTTCATTACTGGGACGTCCTCTTTTTACTCTGTCAGTCTGCAGTAGACTTTTGGCAAGTTTAATTCGAAATTGTTTGAGTGGAATTACTGTTTTTGGATTTTCTTGTAGAATGTTTGAATCTCGTTTGTATAATAGCCAAGCATTATTTATAGATATATTTATAATTTGAGAAAAAATGCTCATATACCATCTATGCGTTTTGAAGCGTATTCTATATATAGCAATCAACATGTCTGCCAAATCCACACCACCCATATGACTGTTATAGTGTTTTATTAACTGTGGGCATGGAATGTGAATTTTTCTATTTTCCTCTTTGGAGAATCTTTGGATAGTTGTCATTAGATTGGAGGCCACATACGAACTACATAGGGTTACGGACTTGTTATCGTACCACTTTACAACAACAATGTGACTGTCATTGTCTACTCTTTGGTCAAAACTACCTCTTCCATCTTTTTTCAATTTCTTATCCGATTCAAGTGGGCAATCCCGTAGTCTGTCTTTTCTAACAGTTCCCAAAGATAGAATTCCAAATTCACTTCGAAGATATGTTATAAGTTCTAAACTTGTAAAATAATTATCAAAATATTCGATCGATAATGGTTTATTTTGGATTGTCCAACATAGTGCTAAAACACATTTTGCACCAAATCCCATGTTATTTTCAACTTCTGTAAAACAATGGTTTCTAAACGTATCATTTCCTCCATAGGGAAAGAAATTATACACTATCCCAGATACGCCACAGCGAACAAACATTTTGAAACCCCATTTTTTTGGTTTATTCTTCATATACTGCCTCCTCGAGCCGGCCTTTTTCCCCTTGTATGGAATCATCATTTCATCCACTGAACATCTAGACTCTGACTCAATTGTAAGACAGTTTCTTCGTACACGATCTAGAATAGGCCTTACTTTAAAATATCTGTCATCATTCAACTCCTCGTTATTGACGAAATGAAGGCTGCGTCGTATTGCTTGATACCTTTTGAGTCCAATAGTCCGTGTAAGCCGGCATGTCAACAATCCCCATTAAAATTTCGATAGCCAAGAAATCGTGCATTTCATCTATGCTTGTGTCTACACATTTGTGAAATGTTTGTGTCGAATACAGGTTAGTTTGATCTACGATTAATTCAACGATATCTGGACTATAAAAGGTTTTAAAATATTGCAAAGGTGTTTTTATATTTTGGGGTCTTGTAAAATCATTCGTTTGTGCCGTTGTTACTTCATATTCAAAATCATCAGTTGTCCACTTAAATGGAGGCTCATCTTTTTTTCCTTTTCTTTTTATTGAAGAGTGTAATTTTCCTCATCATCATCATCTGGATCTTCAATGAATTCTTTCAGTAAATTACGAGATAACGCCTCTTGTTCATCGTCACTACTGCTTTCTGGGTCGCTTTCAGCACCAATTGGAGGCAAAAGAGCCATAATTTTATCAATTCTCCTTTCTGTATTCTGAAAATAAAAATAAATATCGAGTAACCCATACCGGGCGGTGTATACTATACAATACGATAAATTTTCATTCAATTTGTGGAAAAAATATTTACTGAATACCAAAAATGTATTTATAAATAAACAGTACTATGCTTCAACAGTAATTTCCCAAAAAATTAGCGCTGCATTATAAAAATCAATAAACAATAACAATAAACTTACCACTTGTTGCCAAAATTCCCAAATAAAAATATATGTATATTATGTATATTATAACATACGTTGCCAAGTTAAGGGTTAAGAAGTAATAAAAAAACGTTAAGAGAGGGCAACTTCGTCACAAAAACCTCCTTGAAATCGGTGGCAAAATTTTATTAAGATTTCGAATTTGTCTGACTAGCATACCGGGTATAAATATTTTCAAAACCAATATTTACAATATTTAGTTTTGGTTTTAGGGTTTATTTAGTATTAATATTATCGGGTCGGTGGTGTAGCGGTCTAACGCGCTTATTTCCCATTATAAATTAAAGTGTTTTTTCAAAGATTTTTGTAAAAGTTGTAATTAAAGAAATTGCTCTATAGATATTAGATTTTTTTATTTATAGGCACAATAAATGTTTTTTTAAATTGTTTTGGGCATTTACCAGATCTATAAATTTTATTGATTACATTTAAAAGTAATGGCGTTATTTCGTCAGCTAGAATTTTAATTATTTCAGATGTTACGTTATATATCCCTGGTGATTTGTTTTTTAATAAGTTTATTAGGGCTTTCATTTTCTGTGACTGGCTCTAAGAATAAGGATTTTTTTGTATGATACCTATTAGGTTTTAGAGTGTTAGGTTTTTAATCTGACCAGCTAGTTTTTCTCTGATATTAAACTCATTTTATATTTGTTTCGGCAGATTTATAGGATCGCCTGTTTCAAGTAGTATTTCCTTAATTTTTTGACAATTCTCTATTTTTTAAGATTTATTTTTTATAAAAATTAGCTTTTGTTTTTCTTATTAATCTGTCTGTTTTCTATAATTTATAAATGTATGCTTTTTTGTCATATTTTTTGGGTCATCTTTGTGTAGTTTAATGTATTTCTCTGTTTTATTGAATTTATTAGGCCTTTTGTTATCAATTCTTTTCTACAAATTTATTTAGTTTTTTGTTTTATTAAGAAACTATTTTTATCAGTTAAATTATTAATTGTTTGTGTGAGATAAAGGATTTGATCTTCTATGTTAATAATATAATAACGTGTCTAGTCTTTATTAATGAAATCTATTTTAAGTTTTTTGTAATATTTTTATTTTCTTTTAAAAAATAATTTCTGTTTGCCGGTAAAAAAGCTATAGTAGTCTTATTAATTTTTTGTGTAGAAAAGAAAATATGATCAATACAACTTTTTGATTTACCTTGGATTCGCATGTATTTATTTATAAGTGATATAAAGTTTATGTTCAGGTAACAAGTTCAGATAATCAGAAACCGTATCATTAGTACTTTTTATGTTTATATTTATGTATGTCTGATTTCTGAGACCCACCTTACAACAGAGTCATACATTAAATTCAGAGGATATAACTTCTATCACACTATCCATCCATCAAATGCAGCAAGAGGAGGAAGTGCGTTAATTATTAAAAATAACATTTCCCACTATGAGGAACCAGGCATCTAAGAACCAGAAAATCAGGTAACCATTAGCACCATTAACATTAAGGGGGGCAAAATTACAATAGCTGCAATCTATTGCCCACCAAGATACAACCAGAAAAAAGAAAATTATCTCAATGTACTCAAAAAACTAGGTAACAAATTTATAATCGGTGGAGATTACAACTCCAAACACACAAACTGGGGTTCAAGATTAACCACAGTCAAAGGAAAAGAATTGCTCCAAGCTGCATCAGAACTTGGTTGTACATACCAATCTTCTGAAAAACCCACCTATTGGCCCACCGACCCAAATAAGATTCCAGACCTTTTGGATTTCTTTATTCTGAGGAAAATTTCACCAAACTATACACAAGTAGAAGAAAACTTTGATATGGACCATTCTGCAGTAATCCTTACTCTAAGTGATAATGTTATTCAAAGAGAAGCCAAACCGACCTTAGCAAATCGGAAAACTAATTGGGAAGGTTTTCAAGAGGACTTAACAAATACTATTCAACTGACTATAACACTAAAAACGAAAAATCAGCTAGATGAAGAACTGGAAAGGTTTATAGTTGAAATCCAGCAAGCTGCATGGAGGAACACACCAGCAGTAAGAAGATTAACAGCTGGAAAAAACTATCCTGTCGAGATAAGAGAACTAGTAGCAGAAAAAGAAAACTAAGAAAGAAATGGCAGATGACAATATCACCAGAAGATAAAAATATATTAAATAGGGCTACCCAAAGATTGAGAAGAGAAATTCTAAATCACAAAGAAGAATCCTTCAACAGATACCTAGTAGGGCTAACAGATGATAAAGAAACTGATTATTCACTCTGTAAGGCAACTAAAAAGATGAAAAATTCGTGTAAACACTGCATGTCCTCCTATCAGAATAGCAGATAACAAATGGGCAAGAGGCAATCAACAAAAGCTGATATTTTCGCTGACCACCTACAAAAGACGTTCCAATTAGATGAAAATCAAGACACTCCTAATGAGACCATCCATAATATGGAACAACTTGAAATTAAGCTAGTTACTCCCAATGAAGTTACGAAAGAAATTCAGACAAACATCAACTCACAGAAAGCCCCAGGATATGACCTTATTACTGAAGAAATATTAAAGAAACTACCGCGGAAGGCTATTGTTAAATTGGCATA